TGATGTTTGATAGTTAGGTGTGTTGCCTCTGCCAGGACACAGAGATGCAACAGAGGCTGTTTTCCAAAAGGTGTAAAGTGTTCTGCCACAGACAGCAGGGTTTTGCTCCAAACCCTAAGTGTTTTGTTTTGGCTTTTGCATAAACTTGCCATAAATTCCACCTGATGCTTTCCTACCGTAACTTACACCTCTAATGTATAGGGTCTTACAAATTGTATGCACCCAGTTTCAGAGTGACTTGCTCTGTAGCTTAGACCTGCTATAGAGCCTGCTCTTACTCTGGAGCCCATTCAACGCTGGCATCCTTCTTGTTGCCAGCAGACATATTGGACCAATGTTCCATGGTGTCAGACAGGCTTACTACAAGACAGAGAGGCCAGCCAGAAACTTTGCTTCTTCTTTTATGGTAGGAGATTCATGATGCAACAATATGTTTTTTACTTTAGGTTGAATGTCCCATAAGTGCCTCAGACCAATGAATTTCTAAAACTTTTTACTGACGGGTCAAGCCCCTGAATCTTTATAGTTTCTCACTCACCTTCTGAAGCACATGTTGTATCAAAGCCTTCCATGTAGTACCTGCTTTGTGCTCATATGGTCTGATTAGTATGTCGTTCTTGATATAGTTAACCAGTGTGTGCTGTCCTGCAGAATGTGCAGCTAGTTTAGTTCTTTTCAGTCTATATTATGACAGAAGGTTAAAGACTTAAGATAGCCCTGGGACAATGTATACCATTGTCAGCTCCAAGTGAATGTAAATTCTTTCTGATCTACTTTTTTGATAGGGGTGAAAAAGAACACATTCACCAGATCAAGGACTGCACATCATGCACCCAATATCATGCTAATATGCTCAAGGAGACACATCCGGCCCAGCTGATTCAACTGGGGCTAACACTTGTTTGAATTGTAGTAGTCTCTTGTCATCTTCCAAGATCCATCTGATTTTTTCAGTGGACTGAGTGGTGAGGAAGATGGAGATGTGACAGGGACTGCCACCCATGCATCCTTTAGGATTGCAAAGGAAACAAATAAGAAACTTTAAAAGCAACTTTATAGCCATGAGGATAATTCAGTATTCACTATCAAAACTGGCAGGACAAAAGGGGAACCAAAGGAAGAAACATACAAATATCTAAAAATATACATATGTATTTTTTTCAGTGATACACTTGTGGGACTTTATTCTGTACTTCTCTTCTATTATCTCCCTCTAAAATTGCTCTTCTGGTATAATCCAAGTCCATCCAGTTATATTATTTTCAAAGGTATAAGAATACAGATTGCATACACTAAAACTTTTTAATTGGCTAATTTCATCCTGATAAACAGTCCAAAGCAGGTCACATATTGAAAAAAGTTATTCTGAACGATATGTAGTATAAAGTGACAAATTCAGAAAATGCAAATATTTAATAGTTAAAAACTAGGGAGGTATGTATATATAGATTATATACATAGATATAATTTATATATAAATTATTAATTTATAAAAGAATGTTATATGGCTACAAAATCATGTGTTAAGAAAATGCTGCAATTTATAACACAATTATGCTCTAACATATATGATTTTGCAATTTATAAAAATGCATTGTGGTGGGGAGGGTAACAGCTCGGTGGTAGAGTGAGCTAACAAAGGATTTTCTTAAGATTATATCTATGTTCATGGTCAATTTACTTTCAGTTTTATTTTACCAAAAATTTTAGGTGAGCACATAAAAATTATAGATTGCATAATTCAATTACTTTTCTAAAACTATTCCTGTTCCAATCCTGTATCATTTCTACTAGTTCTGTCTTGGTGAATTCATACTAACTTTAAATTTCAATGTGTTAATTTATATGTTATAGTTTTTTTAACCTATAGATCTCTAGTAGGCTTAGTCCAAAAATATTCATTACAAAAACCAATGAACAGTTGAAATACTATTCTCCCTTATACATCATCAGCAGACTCACTCCCTTGACCTCTGAGACTGTTTAAAAGCACGTGGGGCTATAAATTCATTTAGCCTTGTGCTCTCCTGATAAACAACTCTAAACGTATTTTTTATTATTTATGTCTCATGACTATTACCATTCATCTTAGTTTTTAAACTTGTGAACCACCTGTGTGCCACTATTATGCTACCAGTGCAGTTGGGAATAGAGTTCAGTTCTTTCCTCTCTGGACACAATGACCAATTAAATTTGAGAGACTCTGAAATCCCTAGGGCTAAAATAGAGGACACAGCATTGTATGAATAGTAAGCCCTTTATTTAAAAGTACAACCCTCTTTCCATGACTCTACCAATGTTGCTGACACCTGTACAATCAGCTTCCCATTGTAAAGTGCATTAGGAACCTGGGGAGAAGAGTCAAGTGTCAATAAAATATGCCTCAGTGACTTAAGGCAATATCTACAATACACTTCTACTTCATCGTGAAGGATTTTTTTAAATTTATATTTCTTAATGCTGTCCAGGTCACATGCTAATTTCATTCTCAATCTATGGGCAGAAAGGGAGTTGAATAAGAGTGTCACAAGGGTTGAAAGCTCAAAAAGTCATTGTA